CGGGGGAGGGGCGCCCGGCCTGGCCGCTTGGAAGGGGGAGCCGGCCGGGCGGCGCGGGCGCCCCGATCCGCCAGCGCTTGGGCGGTGTGAGGACGATGATGCGCGCGCGTTGGCCGTCGAGGTGAAACAACCGCCGCTTCCTTCCCGCCTGTGGGTTGCCCGCCTCTCGGAGCGCCGGACAGCGCTTTGTCAGCCAGAGCCGGCACGCGGTCACAAGGAGCTGCGGGCATCTGCAGGCGGTTTGCGTGCCCCCGTTCTGCGGCGTTCTGCCCCGTTCTGTTCAGGGGCTGTTTTACCACGTGCGGTGGGAGAGGACCTGCCTCCGGGTCGCTTCTGGGGAGGAAAGCCCTCAGGAGAGGGTTTGAGGGGTATGCAATGCCAGGATGCTTGTTCTCCTCTTGTCCTGATGGTCTCTGCTTTGCACCTAGGGTGGTTCAGGCGTTTCAGGCAGATGCAAAAGTTTTGGAGTTGGGAAAGGATTAAGTTGCTACTCTGATAAGCCCAAGGTTTTCTGATTGAGTGGTTTCTACATCCACCCCCGCTGCGAGGAGCAGCACTTGGTGGGTGGCCGCTAGCTTTTGTTTCCATAGCAGTAGTGTCCTTCAAAGGCTGGTGTGCGTGTCTGAGTTGAAGCATATAGGACAGACCCAGTGGTTTGTTGGGGCAAGCTGCCTGCTTTCAGGCTGATGTGGAACTGTGGGTTTGGGCCACAGCAAGTCTCATATTCGGCGTTCATATACCATTTTATTTTTTGAAGTACTCAGGGTGCAGTCATGCACTCGGCCTCTCCGCCCCAGCCAGAAAAGCTGTTATTATTACCCTTGCTTTCCTGTCGCAGTCCAGAAAGGGACTGAGTGGCCTCCTTGGTGCTGCTGGACAAGGCGGTGTTGGAGCCTAGAACGACTTGCTGCTCTGGCCTGTTGCAGACAGGCACAGTTTGGGGGGGGGGGTGTAAGCCCTTAGTTCTCTGCTAGGTGCAGGTCAGGATCCAGGATCGTTCTGCGCTTTGGAAGACGAGACGGTGTGTGCGTGAGGTGGGCCTTCCCTTCTCGCTGCGGGCTGCAGCACCTTCTCCGCGAACCAGTGCTCGCTGCCCTCTGGGTAGGGGATGATGGCAGTGACTTCATCAGCTGCGGCAGCGCAGGCCAGGGAAAGGAAGAGCTGCGAATTCAGCTCAGAACTCCACCACTCACTCACTCGGTGGTTTCAAGCATGTCAGAGGTTGGTTTCTCTGTGAGTAATGTGCACAGCGCTGCGCTGGGCTGTTCGGTTGCTTACTCAGGCTGCTTCACTGTTATTATGGGAAGTCTTGTGTAATTAGCGCGTCTGCTTAGGAAAGTTGTGTGAGACTGAGGCCTGCCTTTGTTATAGGAGACAGTCCATAGACTCGTTAGCGTGCGGCCCACACGGATCGAGGCAGTTGTTACGTGGCCGTGACGGCAGGGATAGATGAGAGAGCCATGAGTGCTCAAAGCCCAGCAACCGGGAAGGCCGGGGAGAGGTGCAGGGAAGCAGGCTGGACCCTTTCCAGGAGAGGGCAGTGATGCGTGGATGCTGCCTGCTTGCTGCTGCAGGAGAGCACTCTGTGCACGGCCATGTGGTGCTCTTCAGGCCTGGAGAGCCTCTCTGAGCCCTGTGGCCAGGCCGGGCGGCTTGTCACGGATGCCAGAGGAAAGCAGCAGCAGTCTGATCGGCAGCCTTACTGCAGAGCTCTTCGGAGAGACTCTCCCTTTTTTTGCTTTGAGGTTAGGTTTGGGGAAGCTCCATGTTGTTCTTGGCCAGATATTGGAGGGATGCTACGCTGGACCTGAAGCCCACATTACGGTGGCCAAATGCTCAGTAGCTCAAACACCAAAGACTGTTTGGCTCTGACTGCCCGGAGTTTATCTCCTGTCTCAGGTGGAGCTGTGTGGCACTGTGGGTGCTCGAGACAGCTAGCAGCCACCGTGTCCCTGGGCAGCCACGTGAACGTGCCCACTGCTTCACGCTGACACACTCAGCCTGACGAATTGTCTTTGACAGCACACTGCCGACATAAATCTGGGGTGCCCCCGATCTCTGTTTTCCTAATAAGACTGGAAGCGATTTGTGCTGGAAAGCTCCTAGTCTGAATGCGCACCTGCACTGATGACATTGGTCAGCCCCAATAGTTATCCGCAGCATGCTGGCTGCTGTTGCTTGCTCGCTCTGAAGCACCAGAGCAAACGTTGAGGTTCGCAGTGTTGCTAGAACTTCTGCAGCTGGAAAGCAAGCAGCTAGCTACTGATATTAAGCAGTAATCATTGCCTCCCGTTCGGCTGTGGTTGCACGTTAGAGTGCCCCAGGCACCACGGGGAATAGGGTGGGCAGGTCAGAGAGCTGTGTCTGCTGGTGCTGCTGTCTAGGAAGACAGGTTAAAGATTGAAGGCAGAGAGCTGAGCCACTGGCATAAATAACTGGAAGAAAGTGGATGAGGCTTGAAAGGTCAGGGATTGAGAAGAGAGCACCTGGAGGCTGGTAAGAAGTGGGGAGAATTGTCCCAGTTTCCAAAATGTCTTGATACAGCTGTTGCCTGTTGCACTCTTTAAAAGAAGTCCTGCTCCAGCAGCTCTGTGCTTAGAGATGCGGCGGGACTGATACAGAAGGCCGCAGCACCACTACCACACACCGTGTCGGTGCAAACTGCTGAGTGCTTTGAGCTTGCAGCTCGCTGTGCTTGTGGGGAAAAGGAACCCCTGTCTTGAGGTGACTGCTAGAAATATTCCTTTTGGGAGGTGACTTTGTCTCGTTTTGTGATAGTAGCTGGAGAGTTAGAACTGGGGTGCTGCCCTTACCCTTTTTAGCCAGGAGATGTCATTCTTAGTCTTCCATAGGGCACATGCTGGGCTTGGTCTGCTGTTTGGAAACCACTGGCTGAAGCTGTGGCTGTGACAGTGCCCTGTAATGCCTGCTGGGCCCAGGACCGCACAGGTTGCAGGGTTTGCTTTTCAAGCACGGGAGAAGTCTGTGCTTCTCCATTTGTTCAGGCAATTGCTTTCTTGCTGCAGCCCTGCAGAAGCAGGAGGCTGCTGCTGGCTTGTTCAAAGCCCCGGAGCCACAGCAGGACCCTTTTCCCACCGCTCCAGTCTTAGCTTTTTGCTAGACTAGTCCAGTGGCACCTTCCAAACCTAGGTGGGTTGCTCTGGCATGCCTGTAGTCAGGATTGCAGTTAATTTCCTGCAGATGTGGGTGATCTGAGCTGCTGCCCAGGGGACTCTGTCACGTTTTGATGTAGCATGCAGGGCGCTGCTGTTTCTGCTGGCTGAACATCTGTGTTTGAACTGGCAGCGCTGAGGAAGGGACCTGTGCAAGCAGGCCAAGGATTCAGCTTGCTCGGAGGTTCCCACATATGTTCTTGTGACCCCGTTCCTGTGCCACACGCCCGCATTTCGGGAGCTGTTGTTCAGCCCTCTCTGCCCCAGAGCCTGACGCTAGGGCTTCCAGAGAGGCTGTGGAAAGTTGGCAAGGGAGTAATTTTGAAATAACCTGGTTGCAGAAATAGAGCCTTCCTAACCTGTGTTGTTTGGTAAGAGCACAAAGCACAGGCACCTGCCTCCTCTGCAGCAGCAGCCTCCTCATCTCCGGGTTATTAGACACGTATGTATGTTTGGCTACTAACTTACTTTCTCATCTGTGTCTTTTTTCAGAAGATGCTCTGCTGGAAGCTGCAAGGATCAACAATGTTTCTGAAGTTGACAGGTGAGTGTCCTTTAGAGATGAGTGAGTGAACGCTGTTGCCGATGGGTAGGAAGGTAGGAAAGCTCTTCTGGCGCATGGGGAAGGCGGGGGTGCATCCCTGGTACCTGCTGTGACTCTGCGCAGGGCCTTGTTTGGGTAGGCATTTGGAACAGCTCTTGGGATAGGGCAGCAGGGGCTGACTGCCCCCACGCCTCTTCTTTTGGCTGCCTCTTTTGGGGTTGTGCTGTAGCATCACTCAGGAGCTGTTTAGCAGAGTTAAATTATCTGGGGTGTTAACAAGTGCATTTCTCAGGCCCAGGGTGTGACCGGTCTCTGGGAGGCGTACTTGTTCTCTGTCTGCTGAATCCTCCTGTGGCAGTAGCTCTGCAGAATGACTTCTCTTGGCACAGGTAGCACCCATGATGCTTTATGAGCAGCAGTACTGCTTTAACAAAGTACGTCTGCTGGCAGGGCAGCGCTGACCTCATCTGCAGTGAGTGCCGGGGAACTGATTTGGAACCGTCTACTCTAGTTCTGCCCAGCAGCGCCTGGAAAGGATGTCATTGTATGCCCAGCAGTCAGCTGATATTGGAGAGTAGCAATTTGCACCCCACAGCCTGCTGGGTTTCCTTTCCCCAAGAGCAGGCCAGGCGCATTTGACTAAAGTATCTGTGAAGGGCAGGGGTCAGAGAATGTCTCTTCACGAAAACCAGTTTCTGTGTGGGGGAAACGAGCGTCGTCAAAGCACAGGGCAGACAGGAGCACCTGAGGACCAGATAGAACTTCTTTTCTGACAGAGTTTGGCCGCTCCCTGATCTCTCTCAGTAACCCTGTGGTACTGAGGTTTCCCACTCCCCAGATGGCTGCCCTCAATGAGTACAGAATCAACATTTTTTGATAGCTTGAAAGCTTGCCTAGGAGGGGAGTGGGCATTGCTGCTCTCCTGTATTCACCACACTTGGTGTTTCACGTTTCTCTCTAGCCTCTCCCACCCAGTGCAGACATCCAGGCAGCTCTGTGCTATGGGCTGCTGCGTCTGTGTCCTCCTGCGGCAGAGGAGGAGAGCCCTCCTGGCCTGCAGCCAGAGGATGCTCCTTCCATTCTCTGGGATCTCAGAGGAAGCAGCCTGGCTCTGTTGCACCCTGGGGCTGAGATCTGGCCTAGATCAAGGGCCAAAGAGGATATTGGTGTGCAGCTAATTGGCACATGTGTTCTGCTGCCTGTAATTGCAGGAAGCTGCTGCTTAGCGATGTCTGGGTGATTTGTGAGCCTCGTCAGGGACAGCAGCAGCAGGGATGCTCCGTGCTCCCTCTGTGAACGGCAGGGCTGGCAGCTGTACACAGTGCAGCTGTGCTGCATGCTCACTGCCTCTGTTTTTGCATGTATGCTTTTTCCTTCCCAATCCCACTTCCGCTACCGTTTATCTGCCTTCACCTTGCAGCATCCCCTCTGTTTGAAGCTCCCAGCCTACACGTGCCTCTTCAGAGCTTCACTGACAGGCATGAGACACGGGACTGTGGAAAGTACTGACTCCCTTCCCTGCTCCACACGGCTTCAGTCTGTGTTGGACAGCAAACCACCAGCCCAGGAACTTCGCAGTCGCTAGCACGTGCTGTGAGGTTACAGAAGAGGCACAGAGTTGCAGTAAAGGCTCTTACTCCTCTCAGTTGGCAAGACCAAAACCCATACTCAGTGTTAGCAGGGTAGGACTGCGACGCTCGGCTGAGCAGTGTGGGCTGCACCCAGGAGAGGGCAGCGCCATCCGCATAAAGACTCAGTTCATTGCAGTGCTGCGTGTGTCCCTGGATGGCTCTGTGAGCTGTCCCCCAGTGCGCTCTTCCCTCTGCAAGAGAGCTCAGGCTAGTCCACACAGCTTGCTGGTGGTGAGTGGGGAAAAGAAAGGCTGGCATGATAGAATTCTCTAATATAGCTTTAAACTCATTTAAACCTTAATCTCTCCCATGGTCTAATGTCTTGGTGTAACAGCTTAAAGGCACTGAAAACCTGGTGGTGTGGTAGGGCCGAACTCCTGCAGGTTGTCTTGCTCAGACTTCACAGTGCAATTCAAGACACATGTTCTCTGCTGTTCCGCAACGTGTCTCATTAGGCAGTGCCCGTAAAGCTGAGCAGAGACATATCGTTGCTTGTGTTACAGAACAGTTGCTGATGTTGTTCAGTTCTCAATCTTTTCAGCTCAAAGACTTTTAGAAAAAGCAGCCAGATGTTTATAATTCTCCAGACTGTGTTCTCTGGTACATGCTCTTTTCATCTGCTGCTAGGGACTTGTTTTTCCTGGCTGCATGAATTGGGAAGCTGATCTTTTTCAAGTGCCTTGTTCAGTTGACTACTTGTCATGGCCCTTTACGCAGTCAGACAGTGTAACTACAACCACAAGTAACAGGGAAAGGAATCTGAAGGGACCTGGTCGGGAAGCAAGGCAGTATTTTAAATGTTTGGTCTGAAGTGTAGAAAATGGACGTGTGAGAGAGGATGGTGTGAAGTACAAAGAAGTAGTTGCTGAAACCGTGAGCTAAGTCATTGCTGTGCTCAGCTGCAGAGGGAAACCAGGGTAGGTAGAGGCTCCAAGGCAGGTTGGAGCAGAGGCTGTGCCATAAAGCGGAGAACTGAAGAGCTTTAAGGATAACCCTGTATTCCTTATCCTGAAAGAGTTCCTTGTTCTTTGTTGGAAGAAGGTGACTCCCTTCATCACACCAACAGTGACCTGTAGGATGATGGGGCCAAAGGGATCATCCTTTGGGTGAAGTTAGGGAGTTTGAGAACTGCCACAGAGGATTTGAATGCCAGCGAGGATAACTGGTGGTGGGTTCCTCAAATGAGTGACAGTTAAAGAATGGAAGGCGTAGAGACCCAGGCATGCACGGCCATACTCTGCTGTTTCTTGAGGATGTGTTCCTGAAAAATGTGATGATGACTCAATACGAAGGATAGCAAAGCAATTTTTCCTATAGAAATTAGTGTAATAGGGAGGTGCCTGTGGGGACTTGAGAAGTACACACAATTTAAATACACAGGGTCAGTGTACATGATGTGAAAAATGGAGGGGCAGGAGCAGTATCGTCAAACTCATCAACTAGAGAAGATGCTGCTTTTTTGGAAGCTGGCTTCTCAGGAACCGGAGGTCTGGTACAGCCCAGCGTACATCTTCCAGTGTACAGGAAGTGTCCTTGCTGCTTCTTTCTGAGTGGTTACGTTTCATCGTCATATTCCTCAATTCAAGTGAGGAAGAAGGTCAGAAAATGGCGTGATGACAATGGTTAGTGAAACACAGCATCAAACAGCTACAGAACTTGGAAATGGCAGACAGAGAGAATCAACAGATAGCAGGGTGCTGCTATGCAGTTAATAGTTATGGGTGTATGAGCAAGTGGGTGACACTGCTCTAATTGTGCTGTCCTTCACAGTTCACCTTTCGCGAGGCTGTAGGAAATCAAACTGCTTTGTTCCAGTGGTCAGGACTTGAATGGAGTTGGAAAACAGGTGATACAGCCATGCCAAATTAAATGCATTTCGGTCTTGGAAGCCAAAGTGTCCTAGGCCGATCCAGATCTTCTGTCTAGCAGCTCAAAGACCCAAGGAGTCCTGGGTGAAAACTCGACAGTAGAAACTGAAATGAGGGTTTGTGTCAGGGCAGCAGATGCAGGCAAGGTCTGGCTGTGCTTTGGGCTGGCGCAGGAAGCTGTGTCGCTGCACTAGCATGACACTGAGTTGAACTAGGATAGCTACTTTCTGAAGCAAAAAACACTGCGGGGAAGCCAGCTGCAGGGCAGCTTCAGTACAGGATACCTGTGGCTCCACAGCTTCCAGGTCAGAGATGGCTTGAGCCATAAGCCAGGTGAGCTCTGCTCACGAATAGTATATGGACCACCTTATTTTGAAAGGCTTTTCCTGGGTCCTTTTTTGCTATTGAGCTGCTAGGCAAGGAAAGCGATGAGAAGAACATAAAGTCTGTTAGTTCAGCTGGTAGCTATAAGCTTCTCAGATAGGCTTGGAAAGACTATCAGAAATGAATGGGAGGCTTATGATCAGGGAAACGTCTCATTATTCTGACCAGCAACTTTTTCCTTGGTTAAGGATGAATAGGCCTTTCAGATATATCAGACAGACCTCATATTAACGTACACATTATTGGGGGAAGAATCACATGTCCAAAGGCTGGATCCAGCCCATGAACCATAAGTTCTCCCATTCCCTCTGTCTCCTCTGTGCTCCTAGACAGGTTTTCTCCTCTTTAGCCAGTTGTTAAATGTGAGAAAACCAGTCTAATTTTTGCGTTAAGATCAAGAAACGTTGAACTTTGGGGAGTATTGCCCTTGGAGCCTATGGTAAACCAGCCATTCCCTTCAAGTTCTTCATGCTTTTAGGCAGAACAGAAGATAACACCTAATGAACGTGGATAGTTTAATTTGCCTCAACCTCAGTTGATCTGGGCGTTCGGAGAGAAAGCAAGAAGCAAAGCCACGAAGAATAACTGTCTCAATTCCCCTCTTGTGTTTTTATATTCAGTATTAATATTGATTCTCTGTATTCCAGCTTTGTTTCTTAATAAGCCACCCACAAAAGTGCAGGCGTAGAGCAGAGTTTTCTAGCCAGATGAATATGACGGAACAGTATCCTAATAAGCACTGGATGGTTGTGACTAATGGAAACGCAGTGCGTCTGTCAGATGGCAGTTACCAGGCTCATTCATAACAGCCGGCAGCAACCCAAATCTGCATGTTAATGAGATCTGGAGATGACCAGCCCCTGTCCTTCTCTCAGAGGGATCCAGCCAGGCACGGTGGTATGGCAGGAAGCTCTATGTCAGCTGCTGCAGCTGGTTCTCCTCTCACTAGACTGATTTTAGGTGGGGGATTGCAGAAGCGGCTAAGAAAGTCGAGACTGATTGTCCCAAATGGTGTTCTCTCTCTTCTGGTCAAGCAGTGGAGAAGCACTTGTCTGGTAATCCCTGACTCATCATCGCACTGCCTCCTCCCCGTCTGCTTCTGTCTCTACTCCGTTGT